AGTGATTTGCGCGAATTGGGTGCAAACTATACTGCCATGATACATGAACCTGAAAATCCTGGAAAAAGATTAGTTATTATGCGAGAAGCTTTAAGACATAACCCAAAATATGTATCACCAGTAGAACATTATATACGCGTACCTTATAGGGTTATCGGATGTGAACCAGTGCCTAAAATTTCTGAAGGTAATCCTATAGTGGCTATACCTCCAGATGTGGTGTCATCCTCACTAGGTAAGACATCTAACTCCAAAATTGAGAGTAGTGAAGTTGAAGATATCATCGATATGTATAGAGAAATTTCTGATAATGATAACTAATTACTCTTCTCTGCTTTAACAGCACGTATACGCATCTCATTAATAGACAATTCAGAGTCAGATCCAGACCCAGATTCAGATGAAGATGAGGACTCAGATGCGGTATCATTAAAAATTAGTATTTTTCTAGCTTTGCACTTTCTTTGAGGGATATCTGGGTTTGTTATCGCATTTATAATTTCTTGATGATCTCGGGTTTTACTATCTTCAGTAATCGGTTAAGAGAGATCCAGATTTTTTTACCCGATTCTTGGCTAACAATACTAGATACTACACTATTATCAATTTGAGGTGAGGTTTCATCTATTTCAAATCCTAGCTCTTTCGTTTTTTTACATGTAATAATTGGACACTGTCCACCCGAATCACAAATCACTTCTGTATCTTTACCATTGGCCGAAATTGAGAATTTTATTGAAGTATATATATCTGTGATAATTTTCCTTCTTTCACTCTTGATTCTAGACATGGGCATTGATTAGCTGATTTTTTGATGAAAACTTCATGTAGTTGTTGAAGAGTGACATTGGGAAATAATGGTAGCCCCTCACTAGTAAACCAAAATTTCTTTACTCCTATATCAATGAATTTCTTTATCAGTATACCTAGATTATCTTCTAAGGGACTATGGAATTCCTCAAATCTTTGGAGATATACTCTCGCATTTTTATCAGCTTCTACCATTTCTTGATCAGTATAACCGACAATATCAAGTTTTTCCTGAATTGTTATTATATCCTCTCTTAAGCATAAAAGCAAATTAAATAATCTCGAAAGTGATAAATCAGAAGAACCTCTATTGGTTAGATTTGCCACGTTATTATATTCCACTGCTAGAACAGGGTCGCCGTCAATGTTAAGATTTTCCTGTATCGGTATTAAATCCTCCACCAATTCTAACAACAACTTATATGAATTAGCAAGTGTTTTTTCGTCAGGTTCACATTCTATTTGCTTAAATACACTGCCATTAATACCAAGATTTTCTTGAATTGCTATTATATCCTTCTTCTTATATAAAAGCACCCCATATAAATGAGCAAGTGTTTCATTTCGATCGGTTTCATTATTAGTATTATTTGCTATAATTAACTTGGAATATATAATGTAATAAAAAATCGGTTTAAATAATTTCAAGAAAGCAATGTTTTAAATGAAAGAAAATCGGGTGCCCATTACCCCTTTTTTATTAAAAAAAAATGACAAATTGTGATTATACAAATAAAAAAATAGAAGCTTTGCCTCAGCTATATTATGAGACAGATCGTTATTGATCTAGAATATTTAGTGCATCTCTA